TCAAACTTGTAGATTGTGAGAGTTTTCTATTTTTTCACTTCACAATATCACAATTTATATATAAAAAAAATATTACCGTTAAAAAAAAAATTTTTAAAAAGTCAAAACGGTTTTGTGACTGTTATTTTTTTTAAACCAGGCCAGCGGTTAAGTACATCCTGAACCGGCCAAGACCGTTTCAGGGTGTGGGCAGTCCGTGATTCGACCCACACGGTTCATGGGCCAAATCACAATCCGATTCACTACCGAGCAGGCCAGGGCGGCCCGCCCATCTTGTCTAGTTTTGGGTTGGTAGGGAAAATCTAGTTGGAAAAGCTATATATATATTTTTTAGTGTGATAGTGCTCGAGTTTTAGACTTGGCATATAAAAAAAAAGTTTTAGCTTTGGCCAACCGATTGTGATCTAGTTTTATGCCCTTTTGTAATTGGTGAAAAAACTAATTTTTTAGCTTTAGCCACTCAAGGGATTAAAATTAGATTTTTAGTGGATTATGATAGAAGTTTTTAAAATGTGTGGTTGAAAAGATGTGAGACCCTGAAAGATGTGGTTAATATTGATTGTTTGACTTTGATTTAAATTAAAATCAAATTTTAATCCGGCCTAAACATGCCCTAATTTTACAATCTTTAGAGTTGCACTGTAAAACCAAAATTGTTAGCTTTAGCCACTCGACAGTGATCGAGTTTTACGCTTTTTAGGCTAGGTGTTCTCTGCCAATTTTTTGCTGTATATTGAGACAATTGACATTGGTAAGTGGTCAGAATTAGTTGACGCACTCGGATGTTCCAGTAAAGCTAGACCTCCCGTCCTCTTCATTTGTTCCCCTAACTGCTTATTTAACACTAGCCACCTTACAAATCTATTAAAAGATAAAAGTAGATGATGACGAAAATGAAAGATAGCAAATATGAAAGCCTAATTGTTTGCTCGTCAATCCTTCAAGCTGTATGCTCCCCATCTGACCGTTTCGATTACTTCTTATGGGCCTTCCCATTAGGGTTCAAGCTACCTTGGCTGGTGCTCTGCCACAGCTGTATCTCTTGACAATAAGTCCTATGCTGAATCTTCTCGACCAAACCCTTCTGTTAAAAGCTCTGTCTTTTCCCCTCCAGCATGTCGAGTTCTGATTTTAGTAAATAAAAGACGGTGAACATTCAATCACGGAGTTTGTTCAATGATCTCTGATGGAACGACTGCTTCAAGGCCAAAGCACACCTTGAATGATAATGTCCTAAGCACCGGTACTAAGCTTATACTAAGTACTTGGGTGACATGGTACTCTACAATAGGTGGTAGGAAATAATGGTTGGTTACAAAACTGATTACACCACCTATTGTAATGTGTCACGTAAGCTAATAAGCACCGATACTTAGGAGATTAATTTCATGTATATATATATTTAAAATGTCAGAATTAGACTTATTTTAAACTTGGGTTGAGAATTGGGCACCTACATACTCCAGTGTAGTAAGTGGTTTGAGCTAAGTCTAGAGACCTTGGCTAGATACAGTGCACTTAACTTTGATAAACTTAAATGTTAGACACTATGCCATATAACGTTACCCACTACAACTACGTAGAGTACTATAACTAACCCATCACATATGTTTTCTTCAAAAGTTACCTTAATTAGTCGAAGGTTTGTGGATAATTATCATCAAGCTAGTCCTCTCTTCGAAGTTGTCTCTTCCATTCAATTATTGTGGCATCAAACTTTTACTAGAGAAGTTTCTTCATTCCTCAATGTGTGTACTATTCTATCAAGCACAAATCTCGAAGATTCTTCATAAAACAAGTCTATTTGTACTTCCAAGACGTGATAACTCACTATATGGAACGGACAATGAATGTTCTTCTTTAGCATAGAAATGTGTCGAGAGTTTAGGTGACAAAGAAACTTGATAAGCCAATTTCTGATTTTCTTGAGAGTTTCAAATGGTCTAATTATCATGGCCTCATCTTCCTTTTCTTTACAAATCTGAGTATAACCTTTCATTGGTGCTACCCTCACAAAACCTTATCACATACTTAGAATTCAAATCATCTCTTCTACTATCGTCGTAACTTACGTAATGTTTTTGAGCCGTCTTATTTTGGCTCTAGTTTTGTCAAAGGCATGAATTGTTCTTTCTTATCTCCAAATCTACACTTTCTTCCATAGATAGCCTCATATACATCTATGCCCTCGTATGCAGCTATGCCTATGGTAGCCACCAAAATGTCGTTGTAAACGAATTCAACTAATGGTAGGTGTGCCTCCTGTTAGATAATTTTTCATAATTTATTTTTTTGTTTATTGTTGTTATGCAAATGATTTACCGCTTCAAAACGGGGATCAATCTGTTGTGTTGAAGAGTTGTCTGTTGGAAGTTATCAATTTTAATTTTCGTGTATGTGTTGAAGAGTTATGTTTGTTGGAAGTTATCTGTTTTATGATTGTATCAGAGCCACTGATCCATCTGATTAATGCTTCTGCAACACTAACTCGTAAAAGTTTAGGCCTCAGTTTGGTGCTTGGCGAAATGAGAAATGCACTGAGCAACACCATTACTGGCAGAATTTAGTAAATGCCTTGTGATTTCCTGCTGTCATCCATTGCAATGGAGATATGAAGCCTCCGTGGCAGGATATTTCTATGAACCATTATAAGCAACTTTGGTCTAAATATGTTGATGATGAGATGGAATTCATTTAGGCGTCCAATTTTGGCATGTAAAAGGGAAATATGTGAACCAAACCAGCATTCTATCTAAACAGATCAGTAATCATCACTACAGCAAAAATGGCATTTTGCAACACGCAAAAGGTAACATTCATTAAATGAGTGTTCCTAAAGGGGCCTATCACAACATTTTATGAAGTGAATGTTGCCATAATCAACATAATTAAGCTTTGGCAACATTATTTAAAAGAATGTTGCCAATGTTGTCTTTTGCAACGTTCATTGACTAGTGTAAAAAGTTTTATATTTTGCAACATCTATTAAACATTGTTAAAATCTTGTTCTATAGCAACATTTAGTGCTTATTGCTGAAAGTTCATTGACCGGTGCAAAAAGTTTCATTTTTTGTGGCGTTTTTTAAATGTTGTGAAAATATGGTTCTATAGCAACGTTCAGTATTTGTTGATGGAACTCTTAATATATATTCATTTGAAACATTTATTAAATGTTGAAAAAGTTTTACTTTTACTTTTTTGTTTTTTGTCCCTTTCTCCACCTTTTTTTTCTTTCTTCCCCTTCCGCCTAAACCCTTCTCTTCCAAATCCAATCCCTCACTATGATGGGTCAATTTCTCATCCGAATATTTCGGTGGTGGTCTCTCGCCAACACCAAAAGTGCCGTGAACGCAGCATTTTACGAGCTTTAACATTACCATGCCACTGCTACCACCATTAAAACCGATGGGGGAAACACTAACAAAGAAAAAAAGGACCAACTAATGGCTCACTCTGTCAGCGTTCACTTCCACCATCAAAGTACTCTGGACGGCCGTCAGACACCGAAGCCAGACCAGTTACCGATAACATGACGATTGCCTCCATTTTCTCTCTTCAAATAATCATCCAATAAGAAACTTCTACTTCTCAAAGATCACATCGAATGGGCGAGGTATTTATTTCCTCTTAATTTAATTAATTTTCGGGAGCATTCGTTAATTCAAATTCCTGTAATCATTTATGTATACAGGAAAATGATAATTTTAGTAAATCATTTGCGATTTTGTTCTGTTTTGTTTCAGAAAAATGAGAAAAAGAACGAAGGCGAGAAGAAGGTGGCTGAAGGCGGTGGCGGAAAGAAGGACAACGCTCCACCACTGTCCTGGTTCGTCCTTTGAAGGTACTGGAAATTTTTATTATTATTATTATTATTTTCTTTTTCTTTTTTGTAAAATTTGTTTGTTTTTAGGCGAGTCAGTGAAAAAAAAGTAAAAAGGCTGAAATACCAATTTGGCAAGCAAATTAACTGGACTGAAAATTAATTATTTTTGGAGTCTGAAATCAATTCCAAGTCCAATTTTCAATAGAAACAGATCTTTAGTCACAGCTGATTTTATACAAGGATACTGGTGAAAGAGGCTGTTTCCACAGCTACACCATCTCAAGAATCATATTCAAGCCCTGCGTGAATATAATTCTATTGTATTAATGAACCCTAAGGACATTTGATTAATAAGATTTGTGTGTTTCAGTGTGTGGGTGGATGACAGGAGGGATTTCAGTGTCAGCAAATGTGAAGTTTGAAGCAATAGATGGAGAAAAATCTGTAACTTACGTAATCCTGGATGGCGATCTTATGCAGCTTTACAAAAGTTTCAAGGGCACAGTTATTGTTAGTGACGGCTCTGTCAAATGGCATTTCAAGTATGAGAAAATTCTTGAGATAGTCCCAATTCCAGAAGTTTGTGCTGCTTTAGCAATTGAGGTGACTGAAGTGGTGGATCTTGTTATATGACATTCTAATATGTAATTGTATGGACTCAAAAAATTGTAATGAAATCATTAATTTTGCTAGTCAATTTGTATTTGAAAAAATAAAAAAGACTTATGGCTACGGTCAAAAAGCGTTGCAAATAAGTGAATTAAAAGTAACAACAACATTATAAAAAACATTGTAAATAGGTTAAAGACAACATTCAAAAAAAATTGTGAACAAGGTAACGACAACATTCAAAAAGCATTGCAAATAGGCTAAAGACGACATTCAAAAAATATTGCGAAAAGGTAATAACAACATTCAATGAAAAGTTGCAAAAAACAAGAGACAGTTTACTGAAGGTCTTTTGCAATGGTCTTTGAACATTGTCGTATCCTTTTCACTCTACGACAACGTCGAATCCCGCAACATATGTCCGAAAGTTGCAAAAAGTTTTTCGCAATGTTTTTCTACTGTTGGAAAATGCTGTTTTTGTTGTAGCGCAGAAACATGAGATCTAAACCAGCATTGTATCTAACATGACTACATTGATAAACAGCAATAAATCTGCCAACAAACCTAACTTCAAACCAGCAATCAATCTAAATAAATCGATAAACAGCAATCAATCTAAATTCAAACCAAACTGCTCAAACACCATCTGCCAAAAACCTCAATGCATTACTCAAACCAAACTGCAGTCTTCAACGAACATATAAACATAAATACACCAACACGATAAGCAGAAAAGAAGTTCCATTACAAACATCAGTACATTCCTAGATTACACATTGGTCCAATACATGTAACCTAAACTAACTACACCATCCACGCTTCACGACTACTGCATTTCCCCACTTCCACATGAAGCAACACGATAGAAAATAAAATAAATTACTACAAACATCAACAACATATAGAAACCAATGTGTTAGAACTTCTTATCCCGACTCAGCCCCAACAACAACATCTGAAATGGATTTATCCAGGCTGCATTCAATCCCAGTAGTTGCTTCATTCCGGGTTGCATTCCTTTAAAACACCAATTCAAATTCACAAACTTTCAGCTTTCCCCAAGTTCTTGATCCTATTGACCCCACATTCCTTAGAAACACCAGTTCTTGATCCGAACGCAGCCCCTCAACCTTGGTTTGAAGATCATGTAAACATGCAGCTCCCGACCATCTTGTTCGATTTCAATCGCAACCACTTGACTGAATCACTGCAATTGAAGTTTTCGGGTATAATATTTCGAGGGTTGAAGCACGATTCCATGTTGCTGGACGTGAGGTTGGGCTTCCTTCAACTAGAATTTCGGTTTGGGAGACTGTAATTCGAATTTGGCAGTTTGGAAATGGGATGGTCTTCACAACGGTTTGGAATGAGATGAATTTGGGATTTTCTTCTATTTGTTGTGAGAAACGGAATACGGGTCAGTTAATTTGAAATGATTTTCTATAGATATTTTTTTAGTGAAAACTTGTTTACAACTAACACTTTTTCACATGTGTAACACTTCAGTGATTTGGCATCCACGTTATCATCTTCGTTTATTTTTTTAACGGAAATTCAGTCAGTGATGAATGAGATAGCATTTTGCAAAGTTTAGTGACTAACTAGATGATTTTTATAGTTCATTGACCTAGTGAAAACCTTTTGCGAAGCTCAGTGACCATCTGTGCTATTATCCCTAGCCATGCTAGCGTTTGTTCTTCTCCATTAACTTGTTCACAAGCTAATCATTTCTTCACAGAGAGACCTATCCTCTTTACATATTTCTCTACCACAATGTATCTGGAAGTTCTTGATAGATTTTCTTACTGATAGTATGTGCAACATCAAAGCCGAATAAACCACTTCTTAGATCCATGTTCATATTTTATCGCCCATTATACACACAATCTTCCTCAGACGACAATACTTTATCTATAGATATTTCAAAACCAATTTGTTTATTATAAGAAACCAACCTTGATCTTTTGTAGAAAGTCTATATCCTGAGCTTCTATTATTTGATCTGTGATAGTGGGTTGAACCATCAATACTGCTATTCTTAATGTTATTTAATCAAATGCTCTTGTATTTTGGGTAATGCTGCAATTTGTCCCACTGTCTTTCTACAAAGAGTATTCTCGATGACATTAACCTTGCCAAGCTAGTAAAGAATAGTGATGTGTAATCTTTTATTATCTCTAACTATCTATTCAATCTTATTTTTGAATCCTTATACATGAAGAAAAATTTTAAAAACTTGTGACATGTATATACTAAACTTAACTCTATACAGATGCTATATCCTTAAGGCTTGTGTAACAAAATCCTGCAAGTAGACGGTATTGTTTATATGTAATAAATGATGAGTAGACTATGGAAACAATGGGGACTCATAATCTACTAAATATGTTTAATTAAAACAAGCTCTAGCTTGGAACACATGATTAATGATTTTGAGAAATGGTTCTGATTTTATCTAGTTACCTATCAATGTTCTGATTTTCTTTTCCATATGTACATATTTTGCAAATATGATGTATCAAAAAGTTTATCATTCACTTCTTTGTTTTGTATATATATATGGTGGCCTCGGTTTGCACTGTGCACTAATATGTGTAATTTTACATCCATCAAAAGTGGACGTTTGGGAGTACTTTTATTGAACTGAAGCAGAAATCGAAAGAAAATGACTAAAATTGAACAAAATATTGAAGATGGAGACTAAGATATATATATATATATATGAAGTACTTATACTGCAAATAAGAAGGAACTCGGACTAAACAACAATAACAACAACAACAATAATAATTATTATTATTATTATTTGCATTCCGATGTTTGGGGACTGGTAAGGGAGTTTTTTAAAAGTAGATCTCAGTATTCCATCACTTTCATTGATGACTTCTTTAGGAAAATCTAGGTGTATTTCATGAAGCACAAGTTTGTGGAAAGCATAGATAGAGAACTAGATGGCCAGGAAAATTAAATACCTTAGGACAAACAATGATATAGAATATACAAATTCACAGTTTCTTAAATTTTGTGAGGAACATGGTATTCAGCAATACTATACAGTTTACAAGACACCGTAACAGAATAGTGTAGATGAGAGGATGTAGAACGGGCAAGATGTTTTAGGCTGAATATAGAGCTTTTGAAGAGTTATTGGGTAGAAGCGGTGAACGTGGCATGTTATGTCATAAGCATATCATCACGAGCAGCACTAGATGGGAAAGTTACAAAGGAATTTTGGACTTGTAATGAAGTTGATTATTCTAGATTGAGAGTATTTGGGTGTCCAGCTTATGTGCATATATCTAGTGATCAGAGATTCAAGCTCGATCGAAATTAAGAAAGTGTATTTTTTTGGGCTATGTTAAAAGAGTAAAAGGGTACTAATTTCGGAATCTAGAGGCAAAGAAAATGGTGATCAATAGGGATGCAGTCTTTGATGAAGCATTCATGCTAAAAGTTTCTCCAGATGCAGAGAAGCTCATTCAGGTGAGGACAATAGTAAGAGCCAAGTGGTGCAGGTAGAGCTGGACAATGTTGACATCGAGATCAATACTCGGAGAGCAAACGGTTCTGGGTTAGAAGAGGGGCAGTATCATAGTATAGCCACAGATAGACCACGTTGCCTTATAGGCCTATAACATTTCAATATGTCGTTGGTAGTCAAAAGAAAAGAAAATGGATAGAGGCTATGATGGAGGAAATTGAGTTATTGCATAAGAATGATACATAGGATTTGGTGGAGCTTGCAGAGAGGAAAAGACCAATAGGGTGTACGTAGGTGTACATAAAGAAAAAACAATGTCAAAAAATGAAAGAGAAAGATACAAGGTTAGGTTAATAGTTAAGGGATACTTATAGAGAAAGAAAGTAGATTATGATAAGATTTTCTCTCCAGTCGTCGGACACTTCCATCGGTATTGTCTTGGCAATGGTGGCCTGTTTTGATTTGGAGTTAGAGCAGCTGGATGTAAAGACTGCTTTCATTCATGGTAATTTGGAAGAGCGATTTTCATGGAGCAACCAGAGGGGTTCTTGGAATCAGGAACATAGAATTTTCAATGTAAACTGAAGAAGTCTTTATTTGGGCTTAAGCAGACTCCATGGCAATGGTACAAGAAGTTTGACTCCAATATGATTCAGATTGGCTACAGTCATTGTGGGTATGATTGTTATGTTTACTACAATGTTCTTACGGATGATTCGTATATTCTTTTGATGTTGTATATGGATGATAAGTTAAGTGCTACTAAGAACATGGATAAGGTAGGCAGATTGAAGTCTTTATTAAGCAGAAAGTTTGATATGAAAGACAGGGGACCTACTAAGAAGATTTTTGGCTTGGAAATCAAAAGAGATAGGAAGGCCAAAAAATTATGGGTATTTCAGAAAAATTATTTGAAGAAAGTGTTAAAAAGATTTAGCATGTCCAATGCAAAACCAATGGGTACAACATTGGCAAAACCTATTGATCCCAGATGGTGTTTTTCCCAGGCTATATTTTTTTCCATTATTTCTCCGAAGGGGTAAATATTTTCTAAGGTAGAGATTGTTATATATATGGCTCATATAGAGTGGAACACGGGTTTATTGGAAGAAAAGGCCGATGCCATATTGAAGCGATGACATCGGCCTTTTGGGCTTTAATTTTTTGTCTGTTTGCTAGGGATGCTGAATAGGTTGTGGTATGGGGGCAACGTCCCACGATACAATATAGGGGGTATTTTCTTGTACGAGTCCTAAAGTTTTGTATGAGCTAGGGTTAGTATATATACACTGATGATGTAACCTTATTGTTCATATTGAATAAAAGATACTCGCTTCACTCCTTGTGGATGTAGGCACATTGCCAATCGACATTAGATTCTTGTATTGATTTCTCTCTTTCACTTCTCTATTATTTCCATAAAATTCAACACATTCTTTTCGGTGCCTTTCATTTCTTTATCCATGACTTTTTCCCATTTCTCTTGAATGGCATCATCAAACCTACAATTGCATGATCTACTTACATAGCTTCTTAGATATTA